TTCCACTTATTTATTTAGCATGCCCCATTACTCTTAGAATATGGGATGTATAATTAGGCCAGAGTCTTTGTCCTCATTTGCCCCCACTTTTTGATCATTTCTCTTGTCAAGACTTCTTTGTCAATGAGCATCTCTATTTCTTTTAACAATGGTCTACAATTCCCTGTAGAATGTCCAACTGCCCCCAAGTGGAAATCACAAACACTATATTGATCATAGCTATGAGCAGAAGAGTTTGGTGGCACTTTTGTTAGCCTCGGTGTGATGTAATGACCTTTAATCAAATGAGGATACAGCTCTGAGATAGAAGTTTGGAACACCTTCAAAGTTTTTTTCGATCTTGGGACTCTCTTTGGTCAATCCGAATGACTAATTACTCCTTTTCTTTTACCGTTATGGGGATTCTGGATGCGACATTCATTCACATCATCAGCTTTCATTTTTTGATCAGGTGGGCTTTTGGATGTGACTTTTAAGTTTTCTTCTCTGATTGCATTTTCAATCAATTCTCCACTTGTCACAAGATAATTAAATCCATCCCTTGAACTTGCCAGCATTAACTCATAGAAAGGAGCTGGAAGGGAATCATGAAACATATATGAGATCTCTTCTTCTATCATGGGAGGTTGAACTTGTACTGCCATTCCTCTCCATCCTAAGGCATATTTTTTAAATCTTTCATTGGCTTTCATCCTTATGATTTGAAAATTCTTACATTTAGGAGCTAAGCCTTTAACATATCTATATTATCCCAAAAATACATCAGCTAAATCAACTCATCTCTTAATCTTCTCTCATTTTAAATAATTGTACCATACTACTGCTGGCCCAATGAGACTATCATGGAAGGAGTGGATTAACAAATCATCAACATTTATGTACCCTTCTATTTTTCTGCAAAACATTTTCAAGTAGATTAGGGGACAACTGATGCCTTCATATTTCTCAAAATCATGCATCCTGAATTTATGGGGAATAACCAAATCTGGAACCAAACTGAGCTCTCTTGCTTCTAGTTCTTTGTGGGAGGCATTAACACCTTTCATAGCTCTGATTTCTTCATCCACCTGCTTGAATCATTCCTCATGTTGTGCATAATTATTGAGGCTATTCTTTAGGTTCGAGTGGGATGCCCTAGGGTATGTTATCATTCTCGATGCATTAATCTGATAGCACTGTTGCTCTTTAACGATCATATCTTCATTATCAGCAGTCTTAGTTTCCATTACTTGGACTATATGATTCGATCCATCTTGTAAGTATCCCAATGTTTCAATACTCGTATCTTGTTGTAACCCAGTCAATTGTTCTAGCAACTGATCTTGTGATCCCTTACGAGATTGCCCTATTGTTTCCATGATGATACGGTAATATGAATGATCTCGGTTTAACTGTTACAAAACCTTTCATTATTAATGCATGAAATAATACTTAAATAAATAAATATGATGCAAATATGAAAATGCAAAAATGGGAATGCAAATTATGCAATACAAATACATGTATACAAAAGGTGTTATTCGAGAGTGATTATCTTAAAACAACTTTCATTGAAAAAAAAAAGTTTTGATACATCAAACAAACTTTACAGATAAGGGATAGCTTTAACTCCCAGTTTTTCTATTTCCCTCAAAAGCCAAATTAACTTCCACTCATGCTCAGGTGTTGAGTTTTCAATCTGTTTTAACTCTTGCGTAAAGCCAGCTAAATCAACCAGTTTATGAGCCACATTATTTGCTTGGACAGCAACTTCCTTTATGACATTGTCTTTTTCCTTCATCTTGCATGTTAATTCTTGGATTTGCAGACAATATTGTTCATTTTCTCTTGTAAAAGAATCTTTGTGGTTATGAAGCCCTTGTATAAGATCTCTACAATCATCTACAATCCTCATCAATGTCTTGTTCTTGGATTTAGTGGCTTTTAGCTCAACATCATTTTCCTTCTTATGGCGTTGATATGAATCTTCCATATTAGTAATGGACCTATTCAACATCTTATTTTTGACTTGACATCTTTCCAAATTGATGACGGTTGTATTGAACATTTCTTTCGCAATCCACAAATCATGAGAAAACTTCTTGGCTAGACCTTCGTGTGTCTTACAATTCTTTTTCAGTTTAATGACACATGTTATCCACTCATCCAGGGTATTTCCTAAACTAACCTTTTGAAAGGTTTGACTAATCTTTTGGAAATACGTACGTATGGTTTCCATTTCTGCACTCACTTTATCATTTTCAATTTTTAAATGATGCATTTGAGCCTCATATTTCTGCAGATCTTCTTCCTTCTGGATGCCCCCATTGACACTATTACTTTTGAATACTTTTGGTATCAACCTGATAGGATAATCAGTGACCAAACTAGGTTGATTCTTTACCTTGAACTCTAGAATTCCATAATCCAAAATACTTTGAACTCGATGCTTGAAAGTGATGCAATTCTTAATGGAATATCCTTGAGCCCCGGAATGACATTCACAATAAACATTGACATCATACCAATTTGGATAAGGAGGTTGCCACAGTTTCACATAATGCGGAGACATTTCTTGCACTTTTAGTAGCTTTCCATACAACTCCTTATATGATATACGGATATCATCAAAATAAAAACCACCTTTCTTCTTGGATTGATCTTGAGTTTCCGATGTTAGGAAAAGACTCTTAAATACCGACGAATTCTGATTGCATGACTTCTTTTCATCTCTGGGAACTTCTACTGTTGTCACCATTTCCTTGGTATCTCCAGACAACTTGTTGATACGAATAATGATTGTGTGTAATATCTCAAATTGGTTAGGATCAAAAGTCCCTTGTATATATGAGATTGCAGGATTATGTTCATTGAGCTCTCTCTCTTTTTGTGCAAGAGTCTCTTTTCCTTTGGTCAAAACAGATATTTTATCCATCATCTTGGACATTTTCTCTCTTATCTCTCGTATCTCCTTTTTCTCTTCGAAAGACAGATGATCATTGGGTACATAGCCCTCTTCTATCCTTGAAGCTTCCTCAGAATGCCATTCCTTGGTTGCATTATAGTTTACTTGATCATGAAACCCTTTGTCCATAATGAAAATCTTTTATTTTGATGACCACTCTTGAATCAACACCCTTGATTATGCCATGATTATGCAATGCAAGTAAAAAAAATCAATATAAACAAGTTAGAAGAAAATAAAATGTATTTATAGAATATATAAGATAAGAAAAATGGTTAATAATATTTGGAAAGGAAAATATTATATGCATCCTAACCTCATGTTTCCTAGTTTCATACTTGTTTAGAAAAATAACCTAACCGCATGATTTCTAGTTCGCATGTATATATTTCGGAAAATAAAACAATACTAAATAAATCAACATGTTTTTCCTTGTATGCTAACATTACGAGAATTATTTGGGTCAGATTCTACCTAGACTGGAGCTCTAGGTTTACTATATGATGATTTATGGCTCTAAGGTTAAAAGGGTCAACGAATCGTCCTTTATTGGTGCCCCTTGGACTGCCAAACCCTCAATCCTGGTCCATTACAGACTTTCAGATCGAGTTCAATTCGAAGGAACACATTTCCTTATATCCATACGGAGGTGAAAAATAAGGTGTGAGCTCAAAGAATGGTCCCCTATCCCATACGGAGGTGAAAACCACATGAGGGAATAGTTTTTCATTCAAGCTAAATAGGATAAGAGCGGGGTTTTAGCTCATGTCATGAATGCAGTGCACAATATGTGAGCAAAAACATAAAAAGAAATAAATAATGTACCACACACAAATATAATCTTTAAATCTAAAGAAACAAATAATGTACATCAAATAAATTTATTCTTTCAATATAAATACATATAATTAAACCTGAAAACAATAGCAAACCAGTTCGTACAACTATTTATACAGAAAATGGTTATTAAAATAATCAAGGAATTAAAACAAAAATAAAACAAATTTATAATTTTTTATTGCAATGACAATTAATTAATAAATTGGTGGCTCAACTCTCTAAAAATATCCCCAGCGGAGTCGTCAAGCTATCGAGACGGTATTTCACCCGGCGAAAACAAGTGTCGTTGCTTTCTAAATCTCGTCTCGAAAAAGTAAATGTTTTTCTTATGGCATAAGATAAAATACAATTTTGAGGAGTAGCCACCAATCATTTTATCAATGTGTGATTAGTCACCAAAAATGCTGTTATTTTAATAAAATTTATAAAAATAATATTAAAATAACATAAAAAGGGTCTTTTACCAGAAAATGAGTCCGGGAGTCAGTTACGTATGGGGAATGATTAGCACCCCCACAACGCCCAATCATTATTCCATATTTAATCGCATAATTTTATTTAAAGAAAATTATAAGAAAAATTTAAAAATTAAATATCAAAATAAATATAATTAAGTTAAACATATTTTATTTTCTAGGTTTTTATAAACAAAACATTTATTCATTTTTAAATATTAAAATATGACATATAGTTATGTTAAGACAATCCTTTCTTAATATTTAAAAATAAATATTATCATTTAATCAAATTATGAAATTGATCAAGTTATGCTTATGAATTTTTCATATATATTCATAGGACTAAAATAAGAAAAAGTAATAGTCAAAGTATCAAATTTAAAATATTAAAACATAAGGATAATAATAAAAAAATAGAAAATTAAAGGTGTTAAATTAAAGGATTGCAATTAAATAAATGAAAAGATGCAAAGCTGAAATTAAAATATAAAGTAAAGAACTAAAATAAAAGATATCAGAATATAAGGCCCAGAATAAAATAGTTTAAAAGATTAAAATAGAGAATTAATATAGCTAAAACATAATATAGCAAAGAGATCAAAAAAAAAATATAGTAGCTAATTTCGAAATAAAAAAATGGAGAAATTAGGAACTAAAGTGTAAATATGCACATAAATTAGAGGGATTATTTCCTGATTTTCCCTATTTTAAGTGAATAAAGTAATGGACTCCCAAAGTGTAGGGACCTGACGCATGGTTTACCCAAAAGTTTTATAAACTTAAAACTCGTCTTCTTCTTCTTTATTTCACACGCAGAACACCCTAGAGCTTTCAACTCTTCTCTTTTCTGTTATTTATTTATTTATTTAACTTACTTTTTTCGAAAATAAATAAAAATAAAATATAAAGTTGAAAAATTAAAATCAAATGTAAAAATAACCTTTGTAGTGCTTTTTTCTTTTCGATTTGCTCTGTATTTCTCTTGATTTTTTTGTGTAAATTTTACATATTGTTCTGGGGGGTTTATAGCCCCAGTTTACAAAAGAAAAATCAAAAATGATTTTTCCGTTCTCATTGTATGTGTGGTTGTCGTAGAGGACCAACTGTTGTTAGTGGAAGCTGCTGGAATTTGTTGTGGTGGAGGGGGCTGCTGGGTTACTTGAAACGTGGAGGGGCTATTGGGTTGTTTGAAACGTGGAGAGGCTGTTGGGTATGAAAGGTAAAAATGGTGATTACAATGCCTACATTCTAATTTTAAAAGAATTGGTTTATGTCAGATTTTGTGAATGTTTTTATACGCAAAATTAGTATATGATTTTAAACAAATCCTATATTGTATGAGAATGACAGTTAGTGGTACAATACTATGTCATGAGGTGGATTGATATTTATTATCTAATTAATGATATGATCCGGTACATTTATGTATATATGTCCGGTACATTTGAGAGACTCCCTTATTTTGTAACTCGAACTACGATCTTTTATTTACGTTAAGACAAATGATTATCAATGTTTTATAAATTTTTTTAAAGAAATTTTTAGGTTGACCATTTCGATGGTTCCTTGTGGCATCGTAATCTATGGATCTTCGGGTCAGACTGGATTAGGGTGCTACATTTAGTGGTATTAAAACGTCTTGGTTTATTCGTTCCTAGGACCTGTGGGTCAGAGTCAGTAAGTGTCTGTGTGAGTAAATGCCCCTAGAGTGTCAAGAATACTTAAGTTTCTGGAATGGAGATATTGTTGGGACCGTCGGCACACCCCATGGCGCAGCGGAAACAAAACTCGACGGTCTCACCAGCGATCCAAGTACGAAAAACTGAAATCGGGAAAAAAAGATGCGAATACTTACAGCGGGTTCCTTGAAAAATAGCAAGGAAAGCAGTGAATTCTGGTGGTGTAGATCAGTTCAAATCGTAAGCCTCCACGAAATCACGTCTCGGCCTCTACTCAGTTCACCCGATTGAGAGCAATTTTGTTTTCCCCCAAAACAATTTTGAGAGAAAGTGGCTGAAAGTTTTGTGTGTTTTCTTACACAAATGGCTGCTAGACCTAACACACCCTTTTTATAGCCAAGCTGCACTAGTCATATTAGGGTTTTTATTATTTCAAATTAATTAAATCTATATTTAATTAATTGGAATTTAATAATCCTTTTATATCCAAGTTACCCTAATCATATCAGGGATTTTATTATTTCAAATTAATTAAATCTATATTTAATTAATTAAAATTAAATATTCGGGATTATTAAAATATATACTTAATTAACTCTAGATATATTTTAGTAACGTACAACAAATTGTACATCTTTGCTCGTTTCAATCTTAGGGTGTGACCCTGTACGTTCTTGTAACATTAGAAGTAATTATTAGAACAATTCTAATATTACATACAATGAGTGACATCTAGCAATATATCATTGTCACCTAAGTTACAAGAAAATATGATTCGGCATATCATCTTGGTGATTAACTCTTTTATGTATTATATCCTTATGTCCTTTATATCTAGAATAGGCACAAGTCTTGGAATAGTCACACTTGTATAGCCCATCTATTGTTTCTTTATTTCTAGAGTAAAATTTAATTAACGAATAGTTTATTATATCTCATATCAACTTATTCGAGCATGGCCATGCGTTTCTAGTCTTACTCAATCAAGTGGCCGGTGATATATTTCCTATTATGTAGGAAGGATATCCTATCTTAATCATACACACCCACTACATATATTGAGATATATTCAATAACAGTCTTTATAGAGCAACCAGTTACGGAGCTTGTTTAGCTGCATCAAAACATACAATAATATATGTTGGGATAGTATTGATCTCAAGTCTAAGGATCATACATATAGTCATCACCATGAGCAATGTTATGACTGTCACATAATAATCCAAGACATATGCTCATGGTGGGTCAATCCAATTCATTGTTCTCTAACAATATAATCATGTATCAATTCTGACATCTCTATGTCAATGACAACTCGTTGTCATCAATCAATAACATGTTAGTCTTAAGCGTATTATTATTGTCCATGCCCATAATAATACTTGACTAGGGATCTTTTAATAATAACAATTATGCCATTATATGGACTTTATTATCTTTCAGTTTATGTTAAACACATATATAACTGAAAATAATAGCGGTAATGCCTTTATTCAATAAATCGGTAAATAAAAGTATTATTACAATCATCATATGATTGGTCTTTGGGCATACTCTAACAGATATCGACCTCTCTTTCTTTTCTAATTGCAGACTTAGATCATGGCTGATGACACCATTCCTAGTCATAAGGGTCAGGAAAAGAGTCACGCCTCCCTTTCTGGAGATTTTGATGACAATTTTGCCCCGGACTCAAGAGATAAGGTACTTGTGGATGCAAGAATTGAGGTAACCTTCTTTCTTGATCTGACTTCAACCCTTAGGAAGATAGTCCGTGCTATTTTGAACCCATCAACTATGTTACCTCCCCCACTCGTACTTCCGGTCCAACTTGTTGTGGCACATTAGGAGTCCTCAGTTGAGAGGTTTCATAGATATAGGACTACTAACTTCTATGGATCTGGGGACGACGATCACATTTCTATATAGCAGTGGCTCAATGAGACACTCTACACCTTGCGACAGTTGCATCTCACTCCTGACGACAAGATAGAGTGCGTCACCACCCTTCTAAAGGGTGATGCGAATGACTAGTGGAAGACCGTAGAGTTGGCGATGGTTCCAGAGTAACCCACTTGGGAGTACTTTTTGTTAGAGTTCAGGGAGAAGTACATAGGAGAGGCCATTATAGATGATTTTAGAGATCAATTCCTATACATGACCCAAGGTGATAGGAATATACTAGATTACGAGAAAGAGTTCCTCAGATTGAGCAGAGATGAGTCATAGCTCATTTCGACAAAGGCTCACTATTGCAGGATGTTTAGGGAGGGCATCCACTTGGATATTCTCACTCATTTGGCAACCGACCTTCCTCGTGTCTTTGTAGAGCTAATCTGACAGGCAAAAGCAGTAGAGAGGATTTTGTGTAAGAAGGATCAGGCGATGAACAACTTAGTAGGTTTGAGCCAGAGTTCTCCAAAGGCAGCGAGGTTGTCACAGTAATCAGTAAAGCAGGCTAGGGTCTAGAGTTCAGGGAGATAACTATCAGGGTCGTCTAGAAGAGCAACTTAGAGTTCAAACGGTGGAGGTGGATATGGCTCTCGCAGGAGATCTTTTTCATCAGCTACTGGTTCAAGTGCCAGTAAGTTTGAGTGGACACCAGTTCACCCAATGTGCTCGACCTATGCAAGGAGGCCCCCAGAGATTGTAATCGAGCAATTGGAGATTGTTTTAGCTATAGGTCCTTGGACCATTTTGTTAGAGACTATCCCCGAGCTTAGAGTTCGACCATCTCATCATCATAGAGAGTTGCACTATCTATTCAGCGAGACTGAGGGTCATCTAGGGGCGGAAGAGTTATTTCAAGGTACTAAAGTAGGGGTACCGCCAGATCCAAAACTGGCTAGGAGCCTAGAGTAGCCTCACGCCAGTATGTCGTACAAGCCTAGGAGGAGTATGCTATTGCTGATGTGATTTCAGGTATATTTATAGTATTCTCAATTCCTATTACTAAATTAGTAGATTCGAGTTCCACCCACTCCTATGTTTTATATGACCTTGTCTAAGAGAGAAATATTACAGTCAAAGATTTATAGAAAGGGGTCAGAGTGTCTAGTCCCCTAGGGTTAGACGTCTTTCACCATCGATGCCCTACAGAGCTTCAAGCTGAGGTATTCTTAGCCGACTTGATGAACCTACTATTTTGGGAGTTTAATGTGATAATAGGCATGGACTGGCTTATAGAGAAAGACACTAGTTTGAGGTGCAAGGTGAGGTGGCTTAAAATTTTCAAGGATAATGTTACTAAGGTAGTGATAACCAATGAGAGATCAAGTTGCACTACCAAAGTGGTTTATGTAGTTAGGGCTTGAGATTGTTGATTCAAGGGTACGAAGCCTTCTTGGCTTATTTGGTAGACACCCGAGCTTCTACTGTAATGCTTAAAGATATTCATATTGTACAAGAGTTCTCTAATGTATTCCGAATGAGATATCAGGGTTACCACCTGATCGTGAAGTTGAGTTTGGTATTGAGGTGTTTTCATGTTCATCTCCAGTGTCAATTGCTCCTTATCACATGGAACCGACAGAGCTAAAGGAATTAAATAATCATATTCAGAAGTTATTGGAGAGGGCTTCACCTGACCGAGCATGTCATGTGGGGAGGAGCAGTTCTTTTTGTTAAGAAGAAGGATGGGTCGATGAGGTTGTGCATGACTATTGATAACTGAATAAGTAAACCATCAAGAACTACTACCCTCTCCTTAGAATAAATTATATGTTCGACCAACTCAAGGGAGCATGTGTGTTTTAAAATATATGCTTGAGGCCATGGTATTATCAATGAAAGTCAAAGATGTCGACATTGTCAATACCACTTTCAGAATGAGACAGGACCATTATAGTTTCTTGTGATGTCGCTTGGACGCACCAATACCTCGACAACTTTTCTAGATTTGATGAACTGTGTCTTCTATCCCTATTTAGATCATTTTGTGGTGGTTTTCATCTGTGAAATTCTTGTGTACTCTCGGTCCAAGGAAGAGTATGATCAGCACCTCGTATTTTTTTACAGACACTTAAAGAGCGTCAGTTATATGCCAAGTTTGGAAAGTGCAAATCCTAGTTAACCAAAAATATATTTTGGAGGTACTACTTGTTTTGGGAGAAGTGTCACATCTTTACAGAGCACAAGAGCCTTAAGTGTCAATATTTACGGAACACAAGAGCCTTAAGTATCTCCTTACTCAGAAAGAGTTGAAGTTGAGGCAGCGAAGATGGGTAGAACTACTAAAGGATTATGATTGTGTGATCGACTATCATACGGGCAAAGCGAACATTGTTGCAGATGCGTTGAGTAGGAAGATTGTGGCAGAGTTGTTAGTTTTTCTAGCGCGATTGAGTTTGACTGATTTGGGTAGTTTGTTAGCAGAACTGCATTTTGAACTGAGTTAGTGAGTGAAATTAAGAGATTGTAGAGTTTGGATGACCGATTGAAGGCCCGAGAAGAGCAAGGCCTTCGAGGAGAAGCCCCGGATTATGAGTTGCATGATGAGAGCACATTATACTTTAGAGGACGACTGTGCGTTCTAGTCGATAAGTAGCTTCATGACAAGATCCTTTATGAAGCACATTGTAGTCCCTCTTTCTTTCCATCCGGGTAGCAACAAGATGTATCAAGAGCTCTAACCATTGTATTTGTGGTTGGGCATGAAAAGGGAAGTGTTCGAGTTTGTTTCCAAGTTCTTAATATGCCAATAAGTCAAGGCAAAACACCAGGTTCCCTCAGGATTGCTGCAACCAATTTAGATACCACACTGAAAGAGGGAACGAGTGACCATAGACTTCGTAACAGGCCTACCGATGACAAGGTTTTGGCATGATGCAATGTGGGTTATAGTAGACCATTTGACCCAATCTACTCATTTCCTTCCGTTTAGATTGACTTCATGTTAGAGATTGTCATAGTTGTATATCCGTAAGGTAATGAGATTGTATGGAGTCCCTATCCCAAACATATCTGACAAATCCGCACTTCACCTCTCAATTCTTGAAATCACTACATGGAGCTTTGGGTACTATATTGATATTTTAATCCATAGAATTTTTATGGATCAGTGGAAGTTGGTGAAATTTCCATGTTAAAGTGGAATAGTGAAATTTAGTAACTAAGTTACATTTTTAGAAAATTGGAAGAGCAAAGAGGAAAATTGATCAATAGGATTTGTATACTTATTCAAGGTTATTAAAATAGAGGTAAAAAGGATGACATGGAGGTAGATATTAGGATTCATTAAGGGAGATTTTTTACTTTTGGACCAAAATGAATTTTAAATTAGATTTAATCCAAGTGTCCCCAAGATTTTTTACATATAAAACTCAAGAAAATCCTCTATTCTTCTTCTTCAATTGCCATGGGTCTCCATAGCTAGGTAAGTGAGTTTTTTCCATTTTTGATCCATTTTATTAGGATTTGGACTAAAGTGTGAAATAGAAAAATATTCCCCATTAAATTATCTATCATTTGGTGTTAATATTTCATAGAATCCTTGCTTGAATTGTGAAGTTGGTGATTATGGTGGATGAAGGGGATATTAAAATCAATGAATTAATGTTAGATTTTGATGTTGGGAGTGTTATGGAGTTGTATAAAAGCATAAAATTGATTGGAAATCATTAGGGGGACTATTGTGCAAATTCAATTATTATATGGAATTTGTGGAAAATGTTGAAATTGATTGTTTCGACATGGAATTGATTAGAATAGTTGAAATTCAATGGAAATGAATTTTAGATGATGAATTCATGCTAGAATCAAAGTTGAGACCATGGGAATTTGATCCCTGAACTTTCGACCATTGTGATAAAGGGAAATTTACAAAAATTTCTTAAGGCTTAAATTGAATGTTAGAATGTATACTTGGAATTTTGGTTTGGGTCAAATTGAAGCTTGATTCAGTTGTTAGGGACCATTTTGCAAAATTATAAAATTGATAGATTAATAAGAAATTGTGGAAAAGTTAGTGTACTATGCTGGAAATTAGTTAGAGTGTTAGAATGTTGATTTTGGATCAATATGAAAGTTTTACACGATTAAGGATTAATTTGCAAGTTGTTGGAAAGTTTGTTGTAAAATAGCAATTTTGCAATGTTGAGGTATTATTTTGGAAATATTGTGAAATTTTTTGACTATGATGATTGATATGGATTTGAGTGGATATTAAATGACCACTTTGGAACATTTTACGAAATGTTGGGTTTAATTGGAAAGAAAAGTTTATTAGTGACTATTGTGAAATATTGAAAAGTTTGGTGAATAGTTGTGAGTAACGATTAATTTAGTGATTTTAAAGGTTATTTTTATTGGGGTTTAATTAGTTCAATTTGGTCATAGAATTTGTATCAAATATGCGTTAATGATATTTTTAGAAATTTTTTTCGAATTCGAATTATTATATTAGTTGAAGTACTAATTCATGTTCGAAATTGTTTATGGTGGGGGAATGGATTAACATGTAGATTGTGATTGAAATCAAGCTCATAAAGAACTAAAAGAAAAGGATAAAGCCGAGAGTGAAGTGATCCTAGGAATATAGCGTAATGAGGAAACATGTGAGTGCAATTATCTTTTTATAGAAAATAATACGAGGACGACTTGTGATGAGTAATCCTCGATCGATTTAAAAAAGAAAATATTTTGAAATTGTATTTTGAATATATATTTATCATTGTTTTTTTTAGCATAAGAATATTTCTAGTAGAAATGCCCATATTCTGATTTTAATAGAATGTTATGTCAGATTTCTGAATATTTTTATATGCGAAATTAGTATCTGATTTTAAACAAAGCTCATTGTATGAGAATGACAGTTAGTGGTACAATGCCATGTCATGAGGTGAAGTGATTTATTATCTGGTTGATCTGATATGGCACATTTATGTACATCTGTCTGGCACTACATGTGCATTATAATATTTATGATGTTTTACGTCGTGAATTATCATATTGATTCTGATTTAGTATACTGATATTGTTATATAAAATAACTATATTTTGTTTAGCACTAAAAGTGCTATTTGTTACTGGAAGTAGATCTGCATACGCACACAAACTTGTTATATGATTCGTGTACCATATATTCTCATGAAAATAGTGGCGATGATATGATCTGAAATAAAAAGTATAAATCTGAAATAATTTAGTACAATTGATTTATAGAATTTTTATAGAAATGTTCTTATTATGAGCATTTGTTTGATAATTATACATATTTTATTTTTATAATGTTTTTATGATATCAATTATTTTATATGTTAAATATCTATTTATATTATATTTGTTGCCTCACCAAATGGAAAGCTTAGCGTTTTAATTGTTTTACACGTAGGTAAAGCAGAATCAAAGAAGTAGAGAGCCAGGACAGACATCCCATATTTTGTGAACCAGCTATGATATCCAAAGTCAGTATGACATCTTTCGAAGTTTTTTTTTTTTCTTAGTTGCACGTAATTTTATTTGATGCTCTGATTCAATATTCTTGAATTGTTTTTTTATTAAATTATATACATGTTTATTTATTAAATGAATAGTAAATCATAATTTATTTTAGTATAGTTATTAATTTGACTTGTAATTTTAATATTTTAATTATAACAATTGATTTTTTAAAAAAATTTTTTTATTTTTGAAAATATTTTTATTTTGAAATAAATGTTGTATATGTCTGATGAGATATTGACTTGTACGATGACGTATAGTTAAAGGTGTTACAGAAACTCTCTAGCCTTTCTCAATTTTGCTTGGAAATAAGTGAGAAAAAGAGGAAAGGAAATGTTTGCTACCAAAAAAATATTTGGAGACCTTGCAATTTGTGTTTATTTCTCTATATTGCTCTTATTTTTTGGAATCAAATGAGAAAAAATTCCTTTGTATTGCTTCACAGGAAAATCGAGGAAAAAGCCCATTACAATTTTTTGTGGGTTTTTCATGGTTTTCAGAATCGGATCGGTTAGCGAACCGGTTATGCTATCGATTCACTGGTTCAACCGGTCAAATCGGTCCGACCGGTAAGAACCGGACGACGTCATAATTATTTAAAAAATTAAATCAAAATACTAAAAATTTAAAAAAAATTTTTTATATCACAAGTCATATTCAAAGCAAGTCATAACATATATAAGTTAAACCATAAAATCAAGTGAAACAAATGATTCAAATTAACTACAACATAATATTTAAGGTAAAACATATTGAATAAAAATAATTATATAACTATAATTAAAAAATAAATTTGAGGTTAAAAATCATAACAAAATGATATTGTTTGGTTTAATTTTTTTTTAAAAACATCTCACATGGCTAAGAAACATAGAAGCATCCAAAAGTCTAAAGAGTAAAAATATGAGAATAAAACAATCTCACATTGCTAAGAAACATAGAAGCGCATCACAACTAACTTCTATAATAATAGAGGTAATTTGGCATTCAAAATCATGGAGCCTTTTGGTGAGCATTGATGAACTATTCTTTCACTTCAATTAAGCTCGAATTTTAGCTTCAATTGAGTTCTAATTTTTTTTAGTTTAAGCCTTTTTGAGTTCAAGTTTCAATATTATATTTCGAGTTTGAGTGAACTTGATAATTTTAGCTTGTGAGTTTGAGTTAGTTGAGCTTACTTTTAAAGTTTCAAGTTCGAGTCGAGCAGCAATACTCGAGTTCGACTTGGCTCGTTTAACAAACGACGTTGTTTGGTTTAATTTTTTTTAAACAAAAAACAAAAATCCTGATTTTTCCCGATTTTTCCAGTTTTTCCGGTTTTTAGCCGGTCCGGTTCGAACGGTTCAACTGTTATGGCCGATTCACTAATAACGATTCAACCGATTTAGATTAAACCGGACTAAGCAACAGTTCCCGATTGAACTAGCCGGTTCGGTCCAATTTTCAAAACAGAGGTTTCTTTATACCCACTTATTGTTATCGTAAATAAAAAGAAAAAGTCAAAGTAAAAAAATGCATTTCACTCATTTTTGTTTGTTTCTTTATATGTATGAGTAATCTGGAGCTGTTGAGGAAATGGGACATCTAGAATGCTTCTGGAAGACCAGTTGGTGTAGAGGAGTTGAGGTTACTGGCGTGGCTATAGGAGATTATGGAATGCTCAGTTGGGGCCACAGGCGCAAGAATCGGTTACTCATGTGAAAGGTAGAGGGACGTGGCTCGGAAGACCATGGGACACTGGCGGCGACTGAACCTTTGATGAGAATCAGGGTTTAGGTATAGCCAAACCTATCCTAATGTTTGGCTCTATGGGCCTCAATTCGGTTTCGGTTTTGGCATATAG